TGCATCGGCAGGCGGACTCTCAAGCACTGCGCCACCAGGGAAGCCCGCTTGACAAGTTTTGACAAGACTTACGCCACAATCTAAAAATGATTCATTTTGCAAGGCATAAAATAGTTCTTGCTTTATAAAAATAGTATACTTCTACCAAAGGAACCATGTTTCAACACTGAAAAATAGGTGTTCCACTTAAAGCAGAACAAGATACACCACCCACATTCATCCCTTCTTTCTCTGTTCCCCTCCCAACCAGAGTCATGTCACTCCCAGGACACTGTTCTGCATGGCACAGATGCTACGGCCACCTAAGGCCAGGAGACTTGAGGGACCCTGCATGGTCAAGCACACCAGTAATGAAAAGCAAAGGGTCAGCTGTCTTCATGTAGGATTTCTGGATGTTCCTTCCAGAAAGCATCCCCAATGACATCACAGTGTAAGGGCACCGCCTTAGTCCGGGTCCGGGTCACCACCATCTTTCTTCCTTCCATTTCTGCTGGCAGCCTAACTTCTTTTGTCATGACTTCATCCACCTATAGGTAAAGTTAAAATATTGACACATTAACTAGAGAGTCGGTTTGGGAGAGAAGAGGGAGAAGTGGGGGAAGTTCACTTTTTTACTTTATATACTTCTGACAAATACGTATTTTCAGGCATATATATATATATATATGTGAACATATATATACATATATATATATCAGAGATATATGTATATCTCTCACCATACATGAATTTCTTTACAACTAAAATACTTTTTAAAAAAGTTATGTTGCTATATTTTGAAAGGAGACCTTAGGAACAAAGAAGGGATTCTATGTTCCTTGTTAACAATAACCATAAAATTAAAGACATTTCTGCTCTCCCACCTGCATTAAGAAGGATCTGAGTCTGTGCCAAACAAATGTTTTAAAAATACTAAAAGAGCTGAAGCTGCCAGTGGGATACCTAACACCCCTTAATACTTGAAAATATTCATTTCAGAAAAAAATACTTTAGACAGAAGGAAATAAATTTAGAGACTTCATTATGCCCAGGAGCTGGAACAGAGCAAAAATATTGGTAGAATTAAGGATACAGGTGAATGCACAGACGGAATATTAAATTAAGTATGAATGTCTAGGGAAGCCCTCAAACATTCTGCAAGGGACAGAACCCTCACATGTAACATCAGTTCCTCATATTACAGTTCTCATGGGATGGATGGACCATTTAATGGAATTATCCAGTGTGGGAGAAATTATTTTTTTAAATGTTCTCTGAATGCAAAAATTTTCATATCTGCACTTACCTGTTTAAAGGGGTTTGATTAGATTTGGGGAGAGCTTATGACATGGAAAAGTGTAATAATTCTAAAATTCTGTGATTCTACTTACAGAACGGGGGAGTCCAGATCACAATGTTCACTGACAAACTGACAAAACGAGCATCCATAATAATAATCTATAGCATCTCATTTTGGAAAGGGTCTAATTTGTGCTAGTGACTGGAGTCACATCAGCATACAGGCAGCAGGCAAGACAAAGCCTGGGATGGGCACAGGCTTTCCTTCTGACCTCCGTTTTTCCTCAGACATAACAGCATTACCTTCTGCCATATCAACACAGTTCCCTTCCTATACATCAGTGGCTCATTATTGTAGTTGATGTTGAATTCAGAAAATAAAATCTCATTCTTGTCTGCTGTAAGAGTTCCCTGAAGAAATAAAAACACATATAAAAAGCTTTGTAGGTCTTTTCTCTCCCCTAACCCCACCTATCCATTCCACTCTCTACCTAAACTTCCACAACAAATCAAGAAGTGGAAGCATTTCATCAAACGTCATATAGGTGTTAATGAATTTTCATCTTTAAAGCAGTTCAAATCTTATTTAAATATCAAAATTCATAAAATTCTTTTGTAGCAAATAACTGGCTTTACAAGTCACTACTGTGATGGGGTGAGAGCAACTAATAGTAAGAGTACCGATTATGTACTAGATATCTTTTGTATTATTTGACCCTCATAACCATCTCCATTTTAGAGATGAGAGCTCTGAAGCTTAGAAAGATTATATAAGTTTCCCGAGGCCAAAAGTGCTCTTATTCGTATAAGAATCAAAATCTGATCTCAGCACTTGTAAACTCTGGCTAGATCTACCAGTCTTCCTATTACTGCTACATATGCAACTTTATCACGATTGTTAATAATGACAACCATTTACTGCGTCATTTTAACATCCCAGGCATTGTATTAGGAGCTAATACAACACATCATCTCATTTCACGGTTAGTTTTCCTACAAGTAGCATGTTTATCTAATGATACAACCCAGTATTTATTAAGTACTTACAGTGTGCCCTGTACTAGCCTTTATGTGTTTTACATGCATCATGCCATTTAATTCTCACCAGAAACCTATAAGGTAGGAACTACTATTTTCTACATTTTACCTATTAAAAACTAAGGCAGAGATGATAAAATTAAACAAAAGCCTCTGAGTACAATTATTTGACCCCCAGAGCCTAAACTCTTAATGATACACAGGAGTCCTAACCCCAAGAAACTCCAGGTCCCCAGCAGGGATTGACAATCATGAAGCCACCAGGTGGGGCTGACAAAAAAAGAAGAGCATGTGCCCTTTATAGGGGGCAGCCTATACACAGCTCCAGCTAAGCATTACCATGTTGGAGTGTAGAGCCATTAATTCCATTTTCCAGCTGAGGACACTGAGGCTCAGGGAGTAGTAACAACTGATCCACAGTCACAAAGCAAGCAAGCCGCAGACCTGCTACTAGTATGATCTTTCTATCTTTTCAAAACAAAACCGTAAAAATTTAATAAGAGCTTAAAAAGAAGGCCAAATGTCATGAGAGAGCATAAACTGTCCCCCCCTTAAGTATTAATGCAGTAAGATCTTTATACCTGTAATCTCTCTTGGGCTTGTATTGGTGTTAATCCAGACTGCTGTACAAGTGCCCAGAAAACTGTATTATAAAGATTATTGATGTGACCTGTAAAGAAAACATAGCTGGCACTGTGTATGCACATAGAATCTTTATTCAATATTCACCCTTCAAAGAGTACTGGAACCCCACCTGTCTCCCGCAGAGACATATAATTACTTGCACAAAGCCATACACAGGGAACACAGGGGGAAGTGGTCAAGCAGAAAAAACTTATTTCCTAACAGTTTCATTCTGTCATTTCAGTTGTGCTTCACACAAATCTGTTAACTTGTACATTAAGCTAAGGAATACTTTCCAAGTTATTTGATTTATATTATTCCCACCTCTCTTCCAGTTCTCCTAGCAAAATCAAGACACACCAAATGAATAAAAGTCTAACAAACATTTCACCATAGTCATGTAAGAAGGGTCACAACTTGAATACCCACTGAAGCCAGAACAAACATAGGTGTGTAAAGCAGAGTTCCCAGGGGAACAACAGGGAATGGTAGAGGCTGAGGCACACTGGCTCCTATGTGCATGAATGTGTGCCTGCGTGTGTGTGTTTATGTGTGTGTGTGTGTCTGTGTGTATAAAGGCAGTAGTCACTATGCAGGTTCTGACCAATACTAAGTGGGAATACAGACCTAGTATTGCCAGATCTGATTTTTCCAAAAAAAAAAAAAAAAAAGTTGGAAATAGTTAGTATTTACATACAACCTTCCAATTTTTCAAGTATTTTCAACTAATTTTAAAAACTTGAAATACTGCATTCCAAACAAAATACATGGGCCAAAAATGTATCAGATCATCACCTCTAATGTAAGGAATCAGTAGTTTACATCTGTTTATTTGGTTTCACTTACAATCTGCTTGCCGCCAGCTGAGATAGTCCTTTAAAGTCTGGTTGCTAGGATACACCACGACTCTTCCATCAAAGCCTGGGGGATACAGAAGGGGCTGGTCCTCAAAGTAATCCCGCCAGTAAAACACATAGCTGGAGGCAAACTGGGAGACCACGTGTGTCATAAACTTACTTGCAAAAGGCACAGTGGGTGGAGCAAGAAAAGAGAAAATACATGATATTAATTCAACACCATGACAGGGTCTGTGGGTGTAACAGAGAGATAACACAAACTGTCTAGCAAGCCAAGAGATAAGGTGTGATGGGTCAAGAAAAACTATTTTAGTATTTCAGTTATATATTTAAAATGCAGCCTGTCTCTCCTTCTAGTCCTATAAGTAATTTACTAATGTCAAATGTTCTTCCATAGCATGTGACGTGAATTTATGGTTCAAGAGGTTTTTTTTCAAGTTCTGGAAGGAGGGGAACCATTGTTTTAAAAACATCCCAATTCATTACATGATCTGTTTCCTGTGAGAGTTTCAATATACTGCCAAATCAAATATCAGATCTGTCTAATTTGTACTGAGATCCTCCTTAACTAAAACTTTAGTTTCTGTTTCTAGTCTTAATGTTCAATGCCAGATCAGTCTAGAAGCTAAGGTGATGGCAAATAAAGAGAAAAACTTAAAGAGGTATACAGAATGCTCAGGTATCAGATAGAAGTACAACAGTCTAACCTGTTATATACATACATTCTGCAGTTGCAAATACTACAGTCTGTAAGTTTGTGATTAAGATAAGCAGAAGCCAAATGCTGGTAGGAAATATTCTGAAGGAGCTAGGCCACAAAATTACCTGGCTCTTCTTTTAAACCAATTACTTTTCCGCTTGAACACAAAGCTGTACTCATCACTCTGCCCATATGCAATCACAATATCCTCCAGTTCTTCCATTACGGTTTGGGCACATTTAGTCATTAGATGGAGAGCACGGCTGTCATTAGGTTTTGTAAAGTTGTGCTTCTCAGCAAACCTTCATAAGGGAAAAAGAAGAGGGAAAAGGGTATGGGTGGAAGAGAGCTTGTCATTAATACCACAGATCAAAGAGGCTATTCAAAGAGGAAGATACTGTAATAGTGCTGTGAGTCCAGACATTCCAGTAGCCACAACCTGATCCATTTCGTTAAGAACTCTAGTTTTTCTTGCTCTAACCAACTGAGAAAAAGTAACATAAATACTAAGCCTCCATTCCCTTTTCAGTGAAATGGGGATAAAGTTACTTCATAGGATTCTCCTGAAGATGAGAGGGAGATAAATATAACTATGCCTGGCTCCTTGGAAGTGCTCAATAAATGTTAACTACAATAATCATTACTAAAGTAACACTTTTAAGACTTAAATTCCCATCTTCCTGCTACACTTTTTTTTTCTGACTTTTTCCCTCCTGAATCCACTCCATGTGTTCTGCTACTTATAATGAAACAACATACTCTACAGTGGTGCCCACAGCAAGGCCAGAACAGGCCGCAAAACAGTCAGCCCTCAAAGATACCTACCAAAATAGCTTGTCAATTTGTTGAAGAGCTGAAATAATGGGCCCGAGAGTGACTTTTTCCACCACAGTCTTGCTAATGGACACCCCAAGCCTGCTCCTCACTAGGGGAGCACCGTGTCTCATTTACCCCACCTAGCTCGCGTTCAAGCCGGTTGTAGCCAGCACGCAGAGTGATGCTCAGTGCCGCGCGCTCACTGACTGCCGAGTTACCCCGGTAACCATGAGCTCGGGGCTGCGACAAATGCGTCGCATTCTCTGGAAGCGCTGGCGAACCACGCAGCCCTGAGCCCAGCTCACTCACCGATGGAAATTCCTGCCGTCCAGCCGCACCACCACCCAGCAGTGGGAAAGGCATGTGTCGTCAGCCTCGAAGTCCCGCACGTACTCGAACTTGCTCTTTGCCATTGCCGCTCCCAATTTCAAGCACCGTCTCAAAGTGACGGAAAAGTCAGCCAAGCAACCGCGAACTTTCACGGCGCCAGCAGCCCACATTTCCCCCACGGAAATGAAAACACCAGAGAGCTCCGCCCCGGAAGTTCCTGTGTCTTCTCACGGTCGCTCTAGCCGTAGTGGAGGCCAGCATCTCTCTCGCCTCTCCTTGTAGCTCTTAATGGACTTCCGGGCCTGGAAGGAGGGTTCCATGCTTCCTTAGCACTACTCATGACTGCTCGCCTGTCTCCTTCCGTCCTGCAACAAATCATTCTCACGAAATTTAAAAAAATTCATTTCTGGCCAAGTTTGAAGGTTTGTGATTTTTTTCTTTCTAAATAGTATTTGTTAATTTGTTGTAGAAAATGTGGGATATATCGAAAAATATAATTAAGAAAATTAACACTTCATGCCTCCCCTCTCCCCGTCAAAGCACTGTGGATGGTTCCTTACGGTCTGTTTTTATATATGTATGTTTACACAGGGAATACACAAAATTGGAATCAGACACCTGTACAATTTTTGTATTTTTTCCACTCACCTCGAGTATTTGCCAACGTCATTAAATATTTCAAAGAGTGACTTAAATAAATTAATTAAAAGGACTCATTCTAACATACATAGTACTAAATTAAGTCATTCAACTTTTTCACAAAGACTCATGCTTGAGATCTTGTGGCTGGAAGATACTAGTAACAGTAAAACCCTCATATTTGTACCATGCTGTATGATTTATAAAGCTCTTTTGAATTCATTACCTTCATATATATATATCCCTCAAAAAAATATCATTCAAACAATATAAAAGTATATATGGTGAAAAGTAAACCTCTCACTGACTCCTAACTCCCTACTTTAAGCAATCACTGTTACCAGTTTCTTGCATATCTATTCAGGGAGAGATATAGAAATAGAGACAGAGATGAACATAGAGATAGAGATGTGTTTTGTTTTGGGGGAATTATGCTCAGAGACTGAGACTGTCTTTGCTAATATTTTATTTACTATAGGTTCACTGTGGGAATTATAATTTCACAAGCCAATAGCATACTGGATATGTCTCTTAATAAGCCAATAAAGAAATAACATACTCCAGATGATAGATTGCTTACACTATTGTTCCAGGCAAGGGGAGATAAGAGAAAGTCCAAATTCAGTTGAGGTGTATCTTTCCTATGCGGTTGGTTCTCAGGAGACTTGGCTTAGCCAACCACAAGTTGATGTCCAGCTGCCAGCTAAACGAAAGTGGAAAGTCCCCTGTTGCTAGAGTATGTTGTTAGGGAATGAAGCCTGGTGTTGAGGTGCAATATGATCTTTGCTGGGTCCCTGCACAGCTTTTGCCAGTGCTGGTAAAAGAGTCACTTTTAAGCTTATGCTCCAAGGGTCTTCAGAGAGCTGTTAGGTCAGCAAAGAGTCACCTTGCCCAGTTCAAAACTCTCGGATAGTCCTCACAAACTCCTCACCACAGTTTCTTCTTAGTCTGTTTTTATTGATAAGCCCCCAGTGGGGCCCCTCAGCAGTTGAGCTGCTGGGTGCTTATCGATGACAACAGATGAGATAATGACATCCTGACACAACTTACTTCATTCTTATAGCAAAACAACTTTATTTCTTTACTTTTTTTTTTTTTTAAGAAAGATTCTTAAATTTATTTATTTATTTATGGCTGCGTTGGGTCTTTGTTGCTGCGCGTGGGCTTTCTTTAATTGAGGCGAGCCAGGGCTACTCTTTGTTGCGGTGCACAGGCTTCCCACTCCAGTGGCTTCTCTTGTTGCGGAGCACAGGCTCTAGGCACGCAGGCTCCGTAGTTGTGGCTCGTGGTCTCTAGACCGTAGGCTCAGTAGTTGTGGCCCACAGGCTTAGCTGCTCCACAGCATGTGGGATCTTCCCGGACCAGGGCTCAAACCCGTGACCCCTGCATTGGCAGGTGGATTCTAAACCACTGCGCCACCAGGGAAGCCCGAAACAACTTTATTTCTAAAAACAACTTTTTTTTGCCTTTGCCATAAACAAGTGGATTAAAACAACTTCATTTTAGTCATAAACAAGTGGATCTGAAATCATATCAAACCACTTGGAGGTTTCTGGAGCAGCCTAGCCCAGTAGATGAGAAGGAGCAGTGATGTGCAGTAGCTGAGGAAAGGATGGGGATACCTCACTTGCAGTCCCCCTCAGCCTTTGGGGCCTAGAAAAGATCATTATCATTATCAGTCCCATAAGAAGGATCTCAGAGGTTGGTGGGGGACAGGAGCTGGGAGTTGCCTCTGGGGCCACTGGGCAAGTAAAGTCACCCCTCCTGGAGACGATATGGAGACAGACAGAGCTAGAAGGGCCAAAGGGAGCTATGGCTTCTTCTCTTCAAGGGATCCTTGGAGGATCAGGCTGGTGCTAAAAACATGGCCCCAGGCACCATGCCAACCCAGGAAGAGAGGACTTCCCACCACCCAGCCAATTACGTAGAAGGCCACTGCCTTGTCTAGTCTAGTTCAGCCCTCAATTGGAATTAAGCCTTGAAAAGAGGGGAGTGATGCAGAGAATCTCAGAACCAGAATGTGCCTCCCACCTCCTTCCAGGTTGTTGGAGTGGGAGCAGAGTGAAAGAGCAGACCCTGGACCTCCCACTCCAAGCGCTTTCAAGTAAGAGGCCTGGTCTGCACTGGGGCTTTGAGGGAGGGGACACTTTTCACAAAAAGACAAATACTGTATGATTCTGGAAACTTGATGAGGTGCTTAGAGAAGGCAAATTCATACAGACAGAAAGTAGAATGATGGTTGCTAGGGGCTGGGGGCAGTGGGGGAAGGGGAGTTGTTGATGAGTATAGAATTTCTATTTTGTAAGATGAAAAGAAGCCTGGGGAATGAGTGCAGAATAATGTGAATATACTTAACACCACTGAACTGTACTTAAAAATGGTTAAAATGGTAAAATTTTTATGTGTATTTTACCAAAATTAAAAGTTAAAAAAAATTCTGTACATAGATATTTATGACCTAACTGCATGCTGACCTCTATTTTTCAAAAATTCTATTACTTAGAAGATCATTTACTCACTAAGACTGACAGAAAGAAAAGTTGCCTTTGGTATGGAAGTCACGTTTCAGTTTGTCTTCCCCAGTGCTGACTCATTTCATTTATACTAAGAACTGCATTATGTAAATGAAATTTAGGGTGGAGGGGGGTAAGAAGGAATAATTTGTCTCTAAAGTCTCCTTCCCTGCTCTGAACCACTGTAATCAAATTTGTGGCTGGGAGTAATGCATATGCTTCCAGGAACGAACTGCCTAGTTCTGTCACAGTTTTGAGGCAGAGAGAAGCATTAGGACATACTAGGACATACACAGGTATAAAATTTAGAACTATTATTCTAGAGTAAATTAATGATTACACATCTTGTAATTGCCATAATACATTTATTCTGAATTTTTGAGACGTAGCTTGCATAGGTCAGAGTGAATGGATTTTATTTCTGAATAGTCATTGACTGTGTGTCCTTAAAGGGACATGCTTAGTCAACTACCCATTCTTTCTCTACTTAGCAGCAGTTCCGTAAGTCATGAGGACGGGCTCACTGGAGGGCTTGGAAAAAAATATTAGGAGAGGGAATTCCCTGGTGGTCCAGTGGTTAAGAATCTGCCTTCCAATGCAGGGGACGCGGGTTCAATCCCTGGTCAGGGAACTAAGATCCCACATGCCACGGGCAGGGTAACTAAGCCCACGTACTGCAACTACTGAGCCCACGTGCAACTAAGATCCGACGCAGCTAAATAAATAAGTAAATATTTTTTTAAAAATTAGGAGAACAGAAAGGGGAAATTAGATGTATGTTTCCTAGTCCACTTGACCTTGTTCCACTTAATCTCATGAATTTACTCATTCATTGAACAAATGTTTCTTAATTTCCTACTATGTACCATGCACAACAGGATGCAACAGCAAACAATACAGCCATGGTGCCTGCACAATGGAGTTCATAGCCAATGATGGAGACAGACATTAAACAAGAATTTCACAAGTAACCATTAAACTAGAATTGTGTTAAGTGTTGTGAAACAGGTTGGAGGCCCTGCCCTGATTGGGGGACTGGGGATGAACCATGAAGTTACCCCTGAGGAAGTACTACTTAAACTGAGATCTGAATGATGAGGTCAAAAGATAGCTTGCTCTGCATGTTCCTACAGTCGTTGAATTTTAATGTTGAATGAATATTTTACCAAAACATTTTGCTTGTACAAAGTTTTGGAAAAGGACCCAGAGTGACGTGAGTTTCCATATCATGGATCAGGCAATTAATAAATACCTAATGGGAACCTTCAATGTGTAAGGGCACTGGGAAAATGTAATAAATAATCACAATACCTTCCAGATGTAAGAAACTTACAATTTTCAAACCATATTCTCATTTATTATCTCATTTTCCCTTTCAATGAGTGTGTGGAGGAGGCAGAAAAATAATTTTATTTTTCAAGAAAGGAAACAAACTCTGTGGGAGTTGGTTAAGTGATATGCCCAATATCCCATGGCTTCCACAACCAGAATTAGAACCCAGTCCTTCTGATGACAAGTCCAAGTTTTCTCTACTCTATGACCTTGCCTTTCTATGTTTTAAAGGAATGAAGTGGATAGCTGTTTTTTTTGCCTACTCAACATCCCTTTTACTGTCTTTTGCCAAAAGCACCCCACTGTCCTTTTTCCACCCTCAGACCATTTGGTTTATGTGGGGATAACCCTATCCCACCTTTTTTTTTTTTTTGTGGTACGCGGGCCTCTCACTGCTGTGGCCTCTCTCGTTGCGGAGCACACGCTCCGGACGCGCAGGCTCAGCAGCCATGGCTTAGCGGCCCAGCCGCTCCGTGGCATGTGGGATCTTCCCGGACCAGGGCACGAACCCGTGTCCCCTGCATCGGCAGGCGGACTCTCAACCACTGCGCCACCAGGGAAGCCCCTATCCCACCTTTGCTCCATGGTGAGCACTTGACTAAAACCACTGTAGTGTCACAGTGTGAATTAGAAAAATGCACCCTCTCCAGCAGATATAGTTCTGCACGAGGCAAAAACATGGTGTGCCCTGCACTGGACCTCAGCTCCTGCTTGTTCTCTTTGCAGTGAATAACCTGCACAAACACTTGTGGCGGCCTCACTAATAACTGAGATCTGTCTAATCAGGTTCAGAGATATGCACCTA